CTCTTTTAAAGAATTCTCCTTTTGCTTTTTAACCTAATCACAACAGTCAATATAAAGTATTTTGAATACAGTAGGTATTTAAACAAGCAATATATGCTTGTTGAATAAAGACAGACTCCCAAGGCCCACACCTTCATCTCTGTATGCTTTCTCCTCTGCCAGCTCGCTTAAGCTTCTAATACTTCAAAGCCAGTACAGAGCTCACCCAAATTATACCCAGAAAGAATAGCCGGTAAGGACCTGCACATGCTTTTGTGCCTTTGAGAGGTAAAGAGAACACATCAGTGTGAAGAACTATACAACTGGTGTCAATTCTTTTTTTTTTGTTTGTTTTGAGACAGAATCTCACTCTGTTACCCTAGATAGAGCGCCATGGCATCATAGCACATAGCAACCTCAAACTCTGAGTAGCTAGGACTACAGGCACCTGCCACAACACCAGGCTAGTTTTTCTACTTTTAGTAGAGACAAGGTCTCACTCTGGCTCAGGATGCTCTAGTTCACTCCTGAGCTCAAGGCAATCCACCTGCTTCAGCCTCTCAGAGTGCTGGGATCACAGGTGTGAGCCATCACACCCGACCAATGGTGTCAATTGTTTAACCCTCCCTGCATCCAAGTTCTTTGCTATATGACTTGACAGTCTGTCCCACTTCACCCTTTGGACTTTTGGGTTGAGCCACATGACTTGCTGTAGCTGACAGAATAAAGCTGAGGAAACAGATGCCTGCTCTCAGGATGATGCTTCTCTCTGACACTTCTGCCGTCATCGTGAGGAACATGCCCTGGTAAGCCACTGGCCCAGGGATGATTAGGACCATGTGCAGCAGAACCACCACAGCTGGCCTGTTAACCTGAAGTTAGAAGCAGAGCTGCCTAACCAAGACCAGATAAGAACAATTGGTTACAGATGTGTGAGCCATAATAAAGGATTAGTGTTTTGCCACTGAGTTTTGGGATAGTTTATTAAATATCAATGCCTAACTGATGGAATTGGCCTATTCAAGCTTTAGATTTGAGACGTTACACAGATCTTCACATTATTTCCTAGTAATCTAATAGTAGGAGTAACAGTGATGATTAGGAAGATGATAACACTAAAATAACAATTGCTAACATATTGAACACCATGTGCTGAGCATTTTTAAAGTATTAATTAACTCATTTAATCCTAATATTAGCTTCCTTTTTCTACATAAAATTTTTATTTTTTATTTTCTTGGAGACAGAGTCTCATATTGCTGCCCCAGGCTAGAGTGCCATGGCATCAGCCCAGCTTACAGCAACCTCAAACTCCTGGGCTCAAGCAATCCTCCTGCCTCAGCCTCCCAAGCGTGCTAGGATTACAGTTGTGAGCTACCGCACCCAAACTATATAAACTTTTTATGATAAAAAGTCTTAGATTACAGAATTATTGAGAATATAGTATAGTTTCCATATATAGGCAATCTCCAGGTTACGGATGATATATGTTCCTGAGAAGGTCTTTAGGTCAGATTTGTAAAGAGCTCAGGTCCCTGATAAACAGTGTGTATACAGTAATAACAACAATAATAATACTATAATGGCCCAGATGTGGTAATAATAATATAGACTAATACTGTAATAATAATACTCCTGTACCGTAATAAGAAGTTACAGAAACTATTATGCTTTCTTTCAATTCAGGCAAACAGAACATAAAAATAAATTCATACAAAAAGTTTAGGCCAGGCACAATGGCTCATACCTGTAATCTTAGCACTTTAGGAGGCTGAGGTAGGAGGATTATTTGAGGCCAGGAGTTCAAGACCAGACTGTGCAAGAGTGAGACCCTGTCTTTACAAAAAATAGATAAATTAGCTGTGTGTGGTGGCATCTGCCTGTAGTCCCAGCTACTTGGGATACTCTAGCTGGGGCAGGAGGATCTCTTGAGTCCAGGAGTTTGAGGTAGCTGTGAAGTAGGCTGATGCCACAGCCAGATGACAGAGCAAGACCCTATCTCAAGAAAAAAAAAGTTTAGATAAGAGATAGGAGAAATTTCAAAAAAGAATATCAAAGGCTAACACTCACCTAATGTTACATCATTGTCTTGCTTACTGGAAGGGGCATTTTTGAGGCAAGAAGGTAGGCTAACAGTAGAAAGATGATAGTAGAAATGGTGCCAGAGAGGATGGAGTGGAGGCTGGAGAATCAGGATTAATTCTATTGCTGGAGGAGGGGAGCTCACCACTGAAGTCAGTTTCTTGAAAACGGTTTTAGAGTTGTCTGCAGTCTTTTTCTTTTTTTCATCATAAATGGGCTTGTAGCAGCTAGCTGATGCTCTCACTAACTGGCAGGTAAACTGCTCCCTGTTAGGATCTTGCTCCTCAAGCTTAGCAAGTCCTGCTTCCATGAGACAAAAGGCTTCAGCTAATTCCTCTGTTGTAAACTTTCTTTGCTCGGGATCTTCTTATTCTTCATGTTTATGTTTCTATCAGCTGTTTCTCTACGTATCTGTGCGAGTAGCTGCTAGTGTAAAAATGTTGTGCCCACAAACCACTTACATGCAAGTTTGTTTTCATATGTGGAAGAAACTAGTTCCCAGATTATTATTTTAACTGTTTAATTATATATTATCCTAATGGGGAGGCTTGGGAAGCCATTTGCAAGTATGAAATGCTGTAAGTTGGGGTATTCGAAACCTGAACAGTGCCTGTACTCTATAGCCAGTTGCCCCAAATATACATTTATATGATGTATCTGTCACAATTATTGAAATAATATTGATACTCCATTATCAACTAAAGTCCATAATTTATTCAGATTACTTTAGTTTTCCCTAATGTCCTTTTTCTGTTCCAGGATCCCATCTACCACTTTACACTTAGTCATCCTATCTCTTTAGGCTCCGACAGTTTCAGCCCTCTCCCTTCTTATTATGTTTTACTGTTTTGTTTTTTTTTTAGTAATAGCTTTATATAGATAGATATAATTCATGTATCATACAATTCACCCATTTAAAGTATACAACTCAATGGTTCCTAGCACACTCACGGAGTTGTACGACCCCTACCACAATCAATTTCAGAACATTTTTATCACCCAGAAAGAAATCTCATACCCTTCAGCTGTCACCCTCAACAATCACCCCCTTTACCCTCACCCCTAGGCAACCACTAATTTATTTTATCTCCATAATTTTGCCTATTCTAGACATTTCACATAAATGAAATCATACAAAATGTAGTACAGTGGAACCTCCACAGTTGACCACCTCCTTAAGTTAACCTAATTTTCATAGACCAGACATATACCACACATATGTATCAGCACAGTAGGCCTACTGCCTTGTGTTGACCACCTTTGAATGTTGACCAGCTTGTTGTAGGCCCTTCGATGGTCAACTCACAGAGGTTCTACTGTATTTTGTGACCAGTGTCTTTCATGTAATATGCTTTTAAGATTCATCCCTGCTGTAGTATATATCAGTAGTACTTCATTAATTTTTAAAGCTGAATAATACTCCATTATAAGTATACCACATTTTGTTTATCCACTCATCAACTGATGGATTATAGGTTGTTTCCACTTTGGGGCTATTGTGAATAATACTTCTTGAACATTCACACATAAGTTTTTTGTTTTTTGAGTCAGAGCCTCAAGCTATCCCCCTGGGTGGAGTGTCATGGCATCACAGCTCACAGCAACCTCCAACTTTTAGGCTCAAGAGAGTCTCCTGCCTCAGCCTCCCAAGTAGCTGGGACCACAGGAACCCACCACAACGCCCAGCTATTTTTTTGGTTGCAGCCATCATTGTTGTTTTGGCGGGCCTGGGCTAGATTTGAACCCGCCACCTTAGGTGTATATGGCTGGCGCCTTAGCCACTTGAGCCACAGGCGACGAGCCCACACGTAAGTTTTTATGTAGAAATATGTTTTCATTTCTCTCAAGTCTATACCTAGGAGTAGAATTTTGGCTGAGTGGTAACGTTATGTTTATCTTTGAAGAACTTCAGACTGTTTTCCAAAGTGGCTATACCATTTTACATTCCTACTTAGTCTCCTTTTCGGAAACAAGAAATCAAAGCCCACAGGGATTGAGTAATTTGTCAGAGTCCAAATTACCAAAGCTATGGCTGAGAAGCAGGAGAGTGGGGAGATGCACCTAGGTGGTCTGCCTCTAGGACCCCAGCTCTTAGCAACTATACTGCACGTCAAAACCAAGAGAAAGGAAGTTAATTCTGACTTCTGGGGGCAGGTGTGGTGGCTCACACCTGTAATCCTAGCACTCTAGGGGGCCAAGGCAGGTAGATCATCTACACTCAGGAGTTTAAGACCAGCCTGAGCAAGAGCAAGACCTCGTCCTTAAAATAAATAGCTGGGTATTGTGGCAGGCATCTGTAGTCCCCGCTACTTAGGAGGCTGAGGCAAGAGGATCTCTTAAGCCCAAGAGTTTGAGGATGCTATGAGCTGTGATGCCACGGCAGTCTACTGAGGGCGACAAAATAAGACTATCTTAAAAAAAAATAAAATTCTGACTTTTCATCATGTCTGGGGAGAGCACCTAATTCTCTACATTTAGAATCCACAAATTAATGGAAATGAGTAGAAAAACAAAGAACCATAAAAAGAAATAAAATTATTGTATAAAATGTTTTGATGAAAAAATATTAAATACTATGAGATTCTTTTAGCTTGAACTGAGAGCAAAGAGACTGTAATTAAGTAACATAAATGGTCAATGTAGTAAGAGCTCATGTGTAAGCCATTCTTTATTTCCTTGAATTAGAAATGGAATTTGATCTATAGAATAAGTCAACATTAATAAACATTTCCTTACTATTAGGGACACTGAAACTCCACAGGGACCTTTTGGGAACCCTCCAGGAATGTTGTTATTATTATTTAACGTGTCCTGGCTAGGAAGCAGAAAGGTGGATGAATTGACCAGCAGTCTTGTGGCTTTATGACTGTACAGATTTTGTGCAAACATGATATAATCTTTGGTCCAAGACTCAAAGTCCTTTTCCAAGACTAACTTACCCTGAATTGCAGACAGATACACAAAAGTGTCTTCATGTTCCAAGTTTTCCAAGAATATCTGGAACCAAAAAATATAGCAGTGGTATGATTCACAAAGAACAAGGAAGACTTAAGAGACCCCCGTATCAGCAGCCTCAAAAGTATATGCTTTCCTTCTTGATTGTCTTAGCTAGAAGCCAGTCCAATGGGAAAAGAGTGTACAGGCTTGGAGTCCCAGTTTTATAAAGCTAAAAAAAGGTAGGAATTGAGGGAGATACTTATATTTTTGAACTAGTCAAGTACATGCCAGCAGTAGTTAATGGAAACCAATGGAAGAACAACCAGTTTTCAACATTTGGGCGGTTTTTTTGGAGACAGAGTCTCACTCTGTTGCCCAGGCTAGAGTGCTATGGCATTAGTCTAGCTCACAGCAACCTCAAACACATGAGCTCAAGTGATCCTTTTGCTTCAGCCTCCCAAGCAGCTGGGACTATAGGTGACTGCCACAACTTCTGGCTAATTTTTCTATTTTTAGTAGAGACTGGGTCTTGCTCTTGCTCAGGCTGGTCTTGCCCTCTTGAGCTCAAGCAATCCATCCACCTCAGACTCCCAGAGTACTGGGATTATAGGTGTGACCCACTGTACCCATATTCTCACATATGGCATGACAGCTGTCCATTGTGATACATAAGAGGCAAGGTTTAGTTAGGGTTACATGCAAATGATGGCACATTTGCTGTAGTCTGATCCTTTTCTTTGCACTCACAAAGCATAGACAGAGTTGTTTATCATTAAGATAATTTGAATCTGTTCTATTAATAACTGTTATTAATAGATCTATTAATTGATATTAATAATCTTGCAAATTTCAGGACTTTAAATGACATTAGTAACAAATGTCAATATATCTCACAACTTAGTAACCCATCAGGGATATCAACTGCAGTGGATATTTCTTATCTAAAAGATACTACAGAGACATGCTAGGTTGAGGCATTAACATGAGAGCCAAGACAGACAGTGGCCCTGTGCCCATGTTAAGCAATTCTTTGTATCAACTTGATGCTGCTGGTTTCTACATCTTAAGTATGGCAGGGAAAACCTAAAATTAGTCCAGTTTAGGAAGATAGCTAGATTGGAAGGTATGGGGATCATACAGGGAGTAAGGGAAGCTTAATCCAGCCTCTTGGCCATGGGAATAAAGAGGATGAGATACATCTGGAAGACTTCTTGGTAAAAATAATTGACAGGATTTAGTGACCAAATATACACAGCAGATAAAGATTAAATGAAGTTAAAGAAAATTCTAAGGATGTTCATAGCATTCACTTTCTAAATAGGTATATCAAAGGATATATATATATATAAATTTTTTTTTTTTTTTTTACTGTTTTTGGCCGGGGCTGGGTTTGAACCCACCACCTCCAGCCTATGGGGCCAGTGCCCTACTCCTTTGAGCCACAGGTGCCACCCTATCAAAGGATATTTTTAGTAATTACTCAAGATATATATTATGGGTTTTTTAGCAATATTTTGATGACAAGTCCTCAGCATATTTCTGTGCCTCATTTTTCTCATCTATAAAAGGCAGGTAATGTTGGGTGGCACCTGTGGCTCAGAGAGGAGGGCGCCGACCCCATATACCAAGGGTGGTGGGTTCAAACCCGACCAGGCCAAACTGCAACAAAAAAACAGCTGGGCTTTATGGTGGGCGCCTGTAGTCCCAGCTACTTGGGAGGCTGAGGCATGAGAATTAAGTAAGCCCAGGAGCTGGAGGTTGCTGTGAGCTGTGATGCCACAGTACTATACTGAGGACGACAAAGTCAGACTCTGGCTCTAAAAGAAAAAAAAAAAGGCAGGTAATATCAATATTGCACTTGTTGTGAGGGTTAGAGACAATATCTGTAAGGCATGTGGCCTGGCTTAATAATAAACATCAGTCATCATACAATTGATTCCAAAATTTTAGTATTAATAAATAAAACTAGGCTTGGTGCCTGTAGCTCAGCAGCTAGGGTGCCAGCCACATACATCAGAGCTGGCGAGTTCAAATTCAGCCTTGGCCTGCCAAACAACAATTACAACTTCAACAAAAAAATAGCTAGGCATTGTGGCAGATGCCCGTAGTCCCAGCTACTTGGGAGGCTGAGGCAAGAGAATCATTTAAGCCCAAGAGTTTGAGTTTGCTGTGAGCTGTGATGCCTCCGCACTCTACCAAGGGCGACAAAATGAGACTCTGTCTCAAAAAATAAATAAATAAAAATAATTTTTTTTCTTTTTCATAAGTTTTTTCTTTTCTTTTTTTTTAGAGACAGAGTCTCACTTGGTGGAGTGCCATGGCATCATAGCTCACAGCAACCTCCAGTTCTTGGGCTTAGGCAATTCTCTTACCTCAGCCTCCCGAGTAGCTGGGACTATAGGCACCTGCCACAATACCCGGCTATTTTTTGGTTGCTGTTGCAGTTTGGCCAGGGCCAGGTTTGAACCCACTACCCTTGGTATATGGGGCCAGAGCCCTACTCATTGAGACACAGGCACTGCCATTTTTTTCCTTTTTTTATACATACTTTTTTTTATTGTTTGTGATTCATTGAGGGTACAAAGAATTAGGTTATACTGACTGCATCTGTCAGATCAAGTCTCTCATAATTATGTCTCACCCCTAAGAGCTATGCCATACACCATGACCCCCCATCTCCTTCCTTCTTTCCCTCTCCCCTCTCCCTTATTCCCCTCCCCTACCCCTTGTATTAGCTCATCTACTGCCCTCATATTATAACTGAGTACAATGGATTCTTGCTTCTCCATACTTTTTTTTTTTTTGGAGACACCCCCCCCAAAGCCACAGCTCTATTCATATTTTTAAAAAATAGAAAAAAAACGTATCTTGTGTATTAACCTGGATGGAGGTGGAACATTCTTCTTAGTAAAGCATGACAAGAATGGAGAAGCAGGCCAGGTGTGGTGGCTCACGCCTGTAATCCCAGCACTCTACAAGGCCAAGGCTGGTGGATTGCCCTGAGCTCACAGGTTTGAGACCAGCCTAAGCAAGACTGAGACCCTGTCTCTAAAAATAGCTGGTTATTGTGGTAGGTGCCTATAATCCCAGCTACTTGGGAGGCTGAGGCAGGAGGATCACTTCAGTCCAAGAATTGGAGGTTGCTGTGAGCTATGACATCACAGCACTCTACAGAGGTTGACAAAGTGAGACTCTGTCTCAAAAAATAGAATAAAATAAAAAATAAAAAATATAAAATATAAAATAGCAGGGCATTGTGGCAGAGTCCTAGCTACTCAGAGTGGGGGCTTGGGGGGTGAGGCCTGAGACAACAGAATCACTTGAATACAAGAGTTTGAGGTCACTGTGAGCTATGATGCCACAGCACTCTACCCAGGGGACAAAATGAGACTCTGTCTCAAAAATATATCTACATAAATAGAGATGGAGTCTCACTTTTGTTAAGGCTAGTCTCAAATGCCTGAGCTCAAGTGATCCTCCTGACTTGGTCTCCTAGAGTGCTAGGATTAGAGGTGTGAGCCACTGTGCCTGGTCCCAAAATAAATGTTTTTGATCAGAATTGTAATTCTTAGTTTAACAGCTAATTAAGGCATATAAAAGACATTATTACCATCACTGAGGGTCTGAAAGTTGAAGTGACTTGTCTAAGAAACTGATCTTGGATATGACTGATCCCAGGCAGCAGTGTCTAGAATCTCTGTTCGTTCTTTCTTTTTTTTGAGACAGTCTCACTTCGTCACCGTCAGTAGAGTGCTGTGATGTCATAGTTCACAGCAACCTCCAATTCTTGGACTGAAGTGATTCTCTTGCCTTAGCCTCCCAAGTAGCTGGGACTATAGCTGCCTGCCACAACGCCTGGCTATTTTTTTGTTGTTGTTGTCATTGTTGTTTGGCAGGCCAAGGCTGGATTTAAATGCCAGCTCTGGTGTGTGGGGCTGATGCCCTAGCCACTGAGTTACAGGCACCGAGCCTCTTTCTTACTTTTTTTTTTTTTTAGAGACAGGCTCTCACTCTGTTGCCTAGGCTGGAGTGCAGTAGTGCAATCATAGGTCATTGGGGCCCTGAATTCCTGGTCTCAAGTAATCCTCCTGCCTCAGCCTTCACAGAAGCTGGACTGTCAGTGTGCACAACCAAGCCTGGTTAATGCTATTTTTTTTTTTTTAAGAGACAGGGTCTTACTATGCTGCCCAGGCTGGTCTCCAACTCCTGACTCCAAATGATCCTTCCACTGTGGTCTCCCAAAGTGTTGGGATTAAAGGTTCAATCATTGTCCTTGCCCTTTCCTTGCTCTTTTTTTTTCTTGAGACAAGAGTCTCACTTTATCGCCCTCAGTACAGTGCTATGGCATCACACAGCTCACAGCAACCTCCAACTCCTGGGCGTAGGCAATTCTGTTGCCTCAGCCTCTGGAGTAGCTGG